ATCCAAGTCATTAATAAAAATATTGAAAAGTAAAGGGCCTATTAACTCTGTCACATTCCACTCAATATCTGCTGTTTTGATGAAGAACTGTTATCCCCAACAGCATGCAATAAAACCGCACACAGTATATGATCACAACAGTTAAAACTAGAAAGCAGGGCCATAATGACATTACTAACGAAAACACATTAATTGCAAAGAGCATATGATCAAACCAAAGCCAGGAAAACAGGCAGGTTTTAGCTTGTGCTGAAAGCTTACTAAATTCTACAACTGAGAAATACATATTAAGGACAGCTAAATTTGGGCCTGCCTCTGGCGGATGGCACCACCATTGTGATGTTATGGTTTCACCTCACTGCTTTTAATTCTCTGTCTTCTGTACATTGCTTACAGCTGGTTGGAATGGCATACAAACAGTAAATAAATAGTAATTTAGTAACTTTACATGAGATTTCTGAACTCTCATTGGATTGCTAAAGTAATGGCATAGTTCACTTTCTCCTGCTTTGCACTTCTGCTGTGGAGTCCATGGGTTACAACTACAATATAGAATGTTAGAAGAACTAATCAAGATGGCTAAACCATAGTGTACTTTGTTTAGCTTTAGATTAGCACACTGTAGTGTGTGATTTCAATCACTGTGTTTTATTAACAATGGTTTATAGCATATAAATGAGCTAAAAATGGGAGTGCTTTTTGTGAAGGTTTTTTACCCAATTGTTGTGAAAGAGCTCAGCTGGCTGACCAATCCAATAAGATTTGCTTTCCTTCTCTCTGAAAAGGCTCTGTTTCTCCTGAGTGATATTTTTGTATGGTCCAGGGGTCCTCAAACCCTTCAGCTTATTGACCCCTTCATGAAATTTCAGATTGTTCATTGACCCCCAAACATTTATTATATGAAAATAATGTAATAAATACTACTTTAACTAATAGTACTACAAATAACAACAACAACATTGACTCCTTGGATAGTCCCATCAACCCTTGGGGGTCAATACGTACCACTTTGGAGAATCCTGGCATAGTCAAATCTTATGGATTATGTTGAATTTGGGCTATAATTTATTTACCTCAGTATCCTGGACTGGCTAGAACCAACTTTGCAGCTCTTCCTAAGAAGAAAAAGACCCAGTAATGTTAAGAAAACAATATTGCTGGAGTCAGGAATTGGCCAATCCGCTTTAAGATTTGAACTCTGGAAATCACCTTCCAGCCCTGGGTAGTTTGAAGCATTATATGCACCAACTTGGGCCCCCGTTCCAGAATGCTACTTGGGAAAACAGATTATGCCTATGGAATATTTCTTAAACTATATATGTTTGTTTTAGGACAGTGATAATTTTTCTTCTTCTGGAAGCTGACCTATTGATATATACAGATAATCTAACCTCATGTTCATGGTCATGCCCAAGACCTTGCCTAATTCATTTGCTGTAGGTCATGTGCCTTCCTAAAGGTAGTGACATCAATCAGATTGTGGATATTACACAAAACCACTGATGGTGATTCAAAACAGAACTAAAAAGATTATGTTTTGCACTTTTGGCCACTGACAGTGAAAACAGATGATGCCCCCTAGAATTTTAAGCCATTTCCTTATAGTAGGACATACAATGTGGGTAGCCAAATATATTTGGAAACTTTTTTTAAAGTACTCTGTGGAGATGGGTCTGCTCTAGTTCAACCTCTTCTAGAACTATGTAATTTAATGCTATAAAAATAAAGTTGTAAACATTATTTACAATTTGTTTCTAATGATCTCCCTAACTTGCAAAGCATACTCTTGAAGTGCATCTTCTTCTCCAGAATACTTTTAGAAAAGCAGCAGTCGATGTGACTTGGCTTCTGAAGTCTAACAGTGTTCTTCTATGTGCCAGATTTTGGCAATACACAAAGTGAGGCTTACTTCTTCAGCCACTCTTTCTCTCCATCTCTTTTTCTTGAAGGACTAGGTAAGCAAATGGAGCAGGAGTTCAAGATGAGTTCGCCATTTTTATTTCCTTTTCAAATGATAACCAGTTCCCACTCTGAAAGTACATTTTAAAAATGAAGAAGGCTTATACAACTATTATCCTTGTTCCTTGTCTTAAACTAAGTCTACTTTATGGCTTTCCAACTTAAACAAATAGCCTGGAGAACTTGAGTTTTGACCCTGGTTCATTACTTGTCTGTATTATATACTATTTTTAATAACCTTCTATTTGGAAGCCAACATAAATGTACTGATTATAAAAAGGGCCTAGTTGTTTTCATATAAGTCAACACTTCTCCAAGGGTGAAAGTAAGTCCAATGGACATTTTAGCATATCAGTGACATCTGACATTTTTGTTAATTTTTAAGGTTAGGTATCATCATTTCAAACATACTATAATAATATATCAATTCTGAAATCAAATATGTTACAGTGATAAGAAAGGACATCAGGATATTAACTTGCAACTAGATGCACAATTTAAGGTTGGGAGAGGCTTAGGTAAGGATTTTTGACATAAGTTGAATAGCTAATTGTAGGCAGACCTCAGTGCTTTGATACAATTGAATGTTAAAAAAGAATAAACCATTTCCAGAACAAATTGGAATATCTTACTGATATATTCATTTCTAAAGTAACTAAACAAACTTTTCAAGATACTTCAGCATTTCCTTTTTTTTAAAGTTATTTTTTGATGCTTTTTGTTAATATATGGATATTATATTTGAAATACTTTTTTAAGTTCTCTATTAAATATTCCTTGAATGGCTGTTTGACAAACTTTATTTTTACATTGTCAGATGACTTAATCTTGGATATTCCTACAAATAATTAATTGTCCATGTATAAATAATGTTTCTTGCAGAGAGAATTGACATTTTGTCCCCACCACTACCATGAAGGAATTGTCATCTGAGGATTTGACAGAACCTATAAGACCACTAAAGCAAGCATCTAGTGGCTAAGCTATAATGGGATCATTTTCTTTAATTTGTGAGAAATCTGGTGGCCATATTGATCCTGCACAGAGAAGACCCATCTGCCAAGCTCTTTTTAGCACAGACAGCTCAGAGTTATGAACTAAAGGGCAAATGGTGAGGAAGGGCTAAACCGCAAGAGGAGCCCCCTCAGAAGTGTGTCTGCTTAGAAGTCAGTTCTTCCTGAATAACTCTGTGCTTTAAGCAGATGTAATGAGCGACAACTGAGTCTCTATGGAGGCTTTGAGGTGGAGCTATACAAATTTTCATTAGGGAGAAATCTAATGCTGAAACGGCATCTATATTAGCCAGTTGACTCACTCTTAGTAGCCTCTTCTTCATTCACCTTATAGACTCTGCCTGTAAACTGTCTCTCCCAGTCAGCTGCGTTTTCTGCTAATGATCCTGCATTGACTCTCAGTACTACTTTTGCCCCCTATTGACTACCTGCTACAGGAACTTAACATTGGCTTTACTACTCTGACCCTCTCACAGTGTTTGCTGGCATTTTTCATGCATGGAACAGGACAGTTATTTGCTTTGTTTTTCTCTGCCAGGGAAAATCTATAATATTTTACATGTGAGCAAATATGAGCTTCAAAGCAGCTAATTGATATAGTCAATTTCTCTATTTCAGTGTTTCTGAACTTTGGCGACTTTAAGATGGGTGGACTTCAACTCCCAGAATTCCCCAGCCAGCAGAGCTTGAGTCACCAAGGTTGAGAAACACTGATCTATTTGATGTTTAATTGCAGCTCATGCTATGGTCCTATGCTGAGTATGTTGTGGAAAAATGCTCAGTTTCCATGAAATATTGAAATGCTCAGTTTCCATGAAAGCTCAATATATTTTTCTCCGTCGTTTCTGAAAAAATACTTCCTTGAATTAGACTATTAACTTTACAATATTTCTTGGTGAATTCATATAAGGATATTATCAGATCAATGATTAGCTCTGCATTAGTTGTAAGCAAAAGTTACTAAAGTGTTTGAGGAGTTTGTCTCATTGAATGCATACTGAATATGCCTTGGTTATTGCTTTATTTCTGAAGAGGTGTTGAGTTCTGCATTGCTGTGGTGTTCTAACAGGAAACTGCACAACAGCTTTATTTATTATTCCCTTTGGCCAATAAAACACAAAATATTCCTGTACTTATGTAGGAATGCAAAATCGTGCCCTCAGGGAAATGTTTGGTATTCTGGTGACCTTAGCTGTGCATAAATGAGAAACAAGTTCTGACATCCCTCTCAATGGGGCAGCTCAGACTTATATCATGCAATCTTAGTCATGGAATTGTCTTCAAGATCCATATATCATTGGCTATTTGTAACTCCCCATATTTTCAGACTGCTTCTTCAATTTTTTAAAATCTCTTTTCCCCTACTCCTCAAATACCCCACAATTTCTTAAAGTGGAAAATAAGGACTGCATGGTGTCTTTTCATTGATAACTTGAAAGCTGTACCAGAATATGTGTTGTATCCTTCAGAACTTAATCAGAATGGTTAAGAACTAAGTCAGGACCCAAATGTAACTAGGAAATAGATGCTGGCTTAGCAGCTTGGATCCTTGTAAAATGGTCCATAAGATAGTCTTTAGTTGAACCATCAAGACATTTTTATACCCTTAGACAAAATATTCCCAAAATATAGATAATTTGCAAATCTGACACATGCTGGTTAACACAATTGAAGTTATCCCATTCCTATAGATCCCAGCAAAAATTATGTAATTTTACATCTTAATAAGCTGTAGCAGAAGAAAGCTGATACAATACTCCTCTGCATCTCTACCTGGTTTCCAACAGTAGGGGCGTCGTTAATACTTGCTCTAGGATTCAGCTTTTGCCTATGCATGCTTATATTTCTCTAAGGATTGTGTTGGACCCTCCTCTAAGGAGGAGCAGAGAAGGTGGAGTCAAGCTAAACTTTTTTAATGGAAGATTGAATAAAAACACAAAGCAAAGGTAGCACAGCTGAGTTTGTAGCATTGTTTCTGTGCACATTTGTATACAGTCCATCCTGAAAAAAAAAATCATTTTCCTCAAGATGACAAGAATGCTGATAACCTACAAAATTGTGAAAACTTTGAGAGGACGATTTGGTGTTTTGCATGGAGCCATTCAGCATAATCAGTACTTTTCAAGAATTGGTATCCGATCACTCACTATGAAGGTAATTACAACTTCTCATTAAACATTTGACCAATTCTTTCTTTCAGTGCATAGTGTTATGTGCTGAGAAATTCTTGGCTGCAGATAACTCTTCTTGAACAAGCACAAAAAAATTATTGAGCAAAACTAGGTTTCTAAGTTCTGATTTATTAGAGACTGTTGACTGAAGGATATATTGACTTAGCAAATACTAGTGTGTACCCTGAGTTTTAAACTATAGGTTAAATTCTTTTGGAAGGTGAAGGTTCACAAATCCTGTTTAAATGTACAGAAGTACATAATCTGGCCATACTGATGGTGAAATAATTGTTCTTAACAATAGGTTTAAGATTAATGTGGCAATATTAGACATCAAAGATAACATTTATAAATATGAGATGTCAGAAATTTTATGATCTTTTTATATAATGCTATAATATCTAATACTAGGACATAACATTGTAGAGTTTGCATTTTCTTCTGATAGCACCTGAATGTTAAATTCAGGATAGCACTGTGAGAACATTCCATGGACAGCGTAGAGGGTTTCGGGATTAGCTGACAAACTATTGTCCTTGGATATGGCTTCACATATAATCATTTATATAATACAAGGGTTTATGAGATAGTATGGCCAATCTGAAATCATGAAAGTTAGTAACTGGATTACTGGGTTGAAACTAAGGCCTGCTTCTCACTTAGATGTTAAACTTCTTTCTGCTCTGGGTTATTCAACTTCTATGTGATGGAAGTCTTTCTCAGTCAGTTAATAACAATAAGCAGACCTATTTTCTTCTATCTAACCCTTGCTCGGGAAATCAGGCCAGGGTTGGAGCCTCTCTAGTCCTGCTCACTCTCTTCTTTATTCTCTTCCTCCTCCTCCTTGGAACCAGCATTAACTAGGACTCTGAGGCAAGATGCTTGTGTAATCCCATTATTGATCTTCTAAATTGTCCTTCTCAGATGGATTACCTGTCTCAGGGCTAACTTCTATCTTTGTTCCTACACATGGTCAGAAAAACAGTTTAAAAGCCATAATACTTGGGGGTGTTGTTATGGAATTGCAAGCCTTCTATATCTTTTTAAGGGAGCTGATATATTTCCCCATTTACTTGGAGCAGTGAGAAGATATAGGGGCACAATGCTTATGTATCTTTGGTTCCCTTTGAAAGGAAAGTACTGGAGGCTTATGGTGTTTTTAAATATTTGACTTTATTTACAAATATATAAGGAAGCAACCAACATTAATGTTGTAGGTTCATTTCATAGTTCCGGATCAGGTTTTCAGAGAGGCATCCAGGCTCCCCAGTGCTGCTAGAGTATATTTTATTCCAGCCTCTTCTTTCAGTTTGTTTCATTATTTCTTTTCACAGACTTAGACTGCAACATCCTTAGCTTAGAGAAAGACAGGAGGGGAAAAACCATGTCCCTATTCTCATATTTTCTCATAATTCACAAATCTTCAGCAACATCTAGCTGTTGAAAGCAATAGACAATTTCCCTAGCTGTATTTGCCAGGACCACTTCTGGCTCCATTAACTTTTTTTTTGGCACTCACCCCCAATTTACAGTTATATCAATTTGTACTATCCAAATCTGAGTGTCAGTTGCTATCTCTTAAGCCACCCAGAATACAGTATAGAATGATTTTGCCTGCACACAAGTACTGTACATGTAACAAATTAGTTCAATTATACTGTATTATTAGTTCAATTATAATGGTATGATCAGTACAATCCAGGAGATGTAGAATCATGGCCTTAATTTCTTGAAGGACAAATTACAAATTTTGAATTTTTTTCCAACTCAAGAGAATAGGCAATTTTATCTATAGTTTATGTTTTACCTGCATTGTTGTCATATTTTCATACAGCCTTAATATAGTACTAGGATTAGGAGGTTTCTTCATCAGATGTGAAATTTCCAGTTTTTCTCAGTCTTAAGAGATTACCCAGTTTTAATACTGCACACTACAAATTATTTCCTCTTACCACATCCTCACCCACAGTGGTTTACTACATTATTTAGACTTCTTTAGAACCTCTGTAAATTTATAAAGAGAGACAGAGGATGAAAGGTGACATGCTCAGTGTGGCATGGGAAAAGCATTACAGAGACTGCTCAAGCTGAGCTATGATTTCTTTACCAAAATTAAGAGTGCTAAACACAGAAATGGGTTCTCAAATTTGTTGGGACAAATGGTTTGCAAAAGTTAGCCATTCCTTCTACCTATCATCATATTTCACAGGTCAGTTTTAGTGCTCCATCAACAATGACCCAGCAAGATCTGATTATTAGCACATATGCATTTAAAAAAAAAAAATCAAGCATGGCTGAGGACTTGTTAAGGCAAGTTAATCAAGAAAATATTAAAATAAAAAACAGAAGAACAAAAATATTTAAATGGAATTGCTTTTTTACATATCTAAAAAAGTGAGATCAAAGGTGAGTCAAACCATCTTCTATTAAAGATTCTTCAAGACTCTTTGCTGTTGTATTAATTTTTCAGCCAGTGCTATTTCCTATTCTTTTAAATACCACTTATGTGTTTCAATTTTTTAGTATCCTACTATAATAATTTTCACAATGTATAATTTCTTGTGTTACATTATTTTATAAATCTTAGGAAACCTGACAACAAAGCTAAACTGTCATTAATTATTCAACATTATAATATAATCTTTCCAATTTCCTTACAAACTTTCAGTCAAGATGAAGGACTAAATGTTCATTGCCACCAGAGATGGTAATATGTACCAGTTTTATTACAAACTGTTCAATGAATCCAGAAAGCCTAGATTCTAAGGGATCTAGTGCCATCTATCAAATATTTTAGTTAATTTTTGATGATTTGCTGAAATAGGGTTAAAAGGAATTTTATACAGTAAAGAGTTAACAAGTTGACCCATCAAATTCAGTTCCCAAACCCTCTTCACATATATTTTTAAAACTTTTAAGAGTTTTGAAACCATGTAAGAAATAACGGAATTGGAAGTGTTTGAAACAGGAATAATAATTTTAATTACAGCTATTCTACCAAGCAATGATAAAGAAATTGTCATTACTTAAATTCTCTTTTATCTTTCACAAGAGACGGCCATAATTACCTGATCTTGATTAGTACCATTATTGGTAATAATTGCTTTTAAGCATCTAAATCCATCTGAGACAAGTCCAGTAGTTTTGTGAAGTCATTTTTACATCTCTCTATATGTTGATTAATGCCAGATAATTTAATAAAATTGACTTCTGATCCCACTACTGTATAAAATATATTCAGCCTGAATTGTAATTGAGTAAATCTCTAGGATTTGGGGCAAAACCAAAAACACATTTATTACATTGTTATTCTTTCATTCCACGAAGAACTTGAATATTATTTTTCTTAATATTCCCTGCTAATTTTATGATGAGACTAAAATAAGATGGTAGGCATCCTTGTTTCAACTCCTTTTTTATTTGAAAAATAGTCTATATCTGATTTATTGATTAATATTATTACTATAGTCAAGCAGGAGTATTATGTCTACATACCATTTCCAGATATAAATATTTTAGAAAGTTGCATTCCATTCTGTTAAATACTTTCATAACTTCCAAGAGAGTAAAACAAGCTGTCTTTTAATGTCCTTAACTTGATATCCAGAATGAGTGAAATAAGGAAAGGGTGAGGGCAGGAATAGGTAAGAAACTAGTGAATGGTGATGAAAGAGGTAAATAGGTTAGCAGTTGGGGCAGCCAATGGGCAATTTAATATTGACCTTGCTTCTCCTACTTAAGGGGTCTGAAAAGGATAGCAGAGACAGTGAGAAAGAAATCAGCATGGGCGGGGGGGGGGGGGGGGGGGGGGGGGGGGGGGGGGGGGGGGGGGGGGGGGGGGGGGGGGGGGGGGGGGGGGGGGGGGGGGGGGGGGGGGGGGGGGGGGGGGGGGGGGGGGGGGGGGGGGGGGGGGGGGGGGGGGAAGAAGGTCCATATTGAAGAGAGCCACTGGCAACGCTCAAACAAAAGGGGCAATTGGAAATTTAAAAAAGATCTCCTTCCCATATGTCAACCACTCATTCACTCATGTTAAACAAAGATGGAAGAAGAGGCTGCAGTGATGCCAGGTCTGAATTACTAATGGGAGAGTGAGATGAAAGGGCAGTTTAAATTGCTGTAGTCAACAAGTTCCTATGAAGTAATGGTTTTTCTTACCATGAGAAAACAGGGATCAGGATGTTTGAATGGGTCCCTCCCTATGGAAAGAGAGGAGTGGAGAGGGGAGACAAATCAATGCCTACACTTAACTTGTTAGTGGGGACTTGTAGGATTAAGATGCTTTTCTTGAAAAAATTATTACACAGCCAGAGCTAGGAAGAAGCATCCTAACCTCTACTAGCAGCCCCAATAAATCTATAAGTGCATTCTCACTGGCCGCTGTAAACTTTCCTTTAGACAAGCCTGAGAGAAACTCTTACCCCAGTTGTATTGTTTGCGGCTTGTAGGGTTTCAGAACTCGCTGTGAGAGCCTTAGTGGCATTTTCTTCTGATACTTCCTCTTGCATGAAATGCTAACACTGAGATTTGTTTCCTTGCGGTTTTGCTGTCCGCATCAGGGTGGGCCACTCATGGGGTCTCGACAG